GCGCACAGACGTTGTAAAACTTAGCAAGGAGTTCATGGATTGAAGACGCACGTTTTCATGATGTGGTTCTCGGTTTAGCGCCGCGCACATTCTATCCACACATTGCAAGAGCTTCACGGATCGAGGGCCGTTCCTTTTCTAGAAGTTGGATCTCGCCTTCGCGTCGCGCACATTCCTTTGACAAAGAAACCAGATCCTCATGGATTGAGGGTGGGAGGCTTTCAAAATGCGGTTCTCGCCGTAGCGCCACGCACGTTCGTTTTAAACCGATCTAGGAGCGCAACTGATGATCATGGTTAACAGATCAGAAATGGAGTTTGGAAACGACTCTGGAAAGTCAGGGCGCAAAACTGACGTTGGCTCGCGGTGGTGACGCTTCAGCAATGGTGTTTGGCACGATTCATAATCGTCAAGACGAAATTGACTCCTGGCGTCGAGGTCGCGAGAACTTTTTCGCACGCTTCAGGATGCTCAACTGTGTTTTGGCACGCTCCTGGAGTTGCATACGGTTGTCCGCCAACGGGGCACATCCCTCAGTGGAAATGAATCCTTGTAGAGGTTCATGAAGAGGGAGCTCAGGAGGATGTGTTCCGACATCGTTGTTGGCTCTTGGGTTTTAACTGGTCCCCTCCTCCTCCTCCTCCTCATCATCATCATCATCATCATCATCATCATCAGCATCACCATCACCATCACCATCATCATCATCATCATAATCATCATCAGCAGCATCATCATCAGCATCATCATCATCAGCATCAGCATCAGCATCAGCATCAGCATCAGCATCATCATCATCATCATCATCATCATGATCCCCCTTCTCCTCCTCTCCTCCTCTTCCTCCTCTTCCTCATCATCATAATCATCACCATCATCATCAGCATCATAAAGAACGCAAGGGCCCTTCTGGCCACGGCGAGCCTCGGCCACAAGGAGGACCCCCGAACTAGACCTGACGATCCGCCCGAAAACCAAAGCCCCTCCGAACCCGTGAGAGAAGGGCAGTTCGTCCGGCGCATCCGAGGACTCCTGCCTGCCCGCGGGTGGGATGGAGGCGGACGCCGCAGACGGTGCACGTGCGCTGGGAGCGCATCGACGCGACGGCTGCGAACGAGGAGGCCTGCGGCAAGGGCAGGCAGAGAGAGGGTGGCGAGCGTGGGCCGCGGGGCGACGGCGTGCGGCGCGCAGCGGCGCCGACGAGCGCCTCAGGGCACGCCGCCCCCGAGGAGCGGCCGCGCCGCGGCCGCCGCCCCCCCCCGGCCGCGGCGCAGGGGCGCCGCGGCGGCGGCGGCAGCGGCCCCCAGCAGCACCAGCAGGGCCAGCGGCTGCGCCGGCGTGAGGCGCCCAGAGATCGGACGTATTGAAAAAAAGAAAGTCCGCCGATCCGGCGCGTGAGCTTCCAGAAGCAGCGCCGCCGCCTGGCGCGGGCCCGCCTGCGCAGGCGGCCGGGCGCAGCCATCAGAGGCCTGTTTTCCGTCGGCCCGGGTCGGGGCCTGCGGCTCGCAGACCGAGGGGGTTCAGTCAGCTCCAGCTCTGCTGGGGGGGGCTGCCGGCGTGGCTCTGCAGGGGAGGGGGAGGGGGCCTGCTCCGCCTGTGCTCCGCGTGGCTCCGCTTTGCTCCGCTTCCTGGAGAGGCCTCGGACACGTCAACATGTACAACTCAGGACCTCTTGGGCCCTACACAATAGCTGAACGATCGGGCCCACGCCCAAGATAGCCTCCAGTGGGCCGCAAAAGCGCTCAAGACGTCCCTGGAGGCACCCCCGAGAGGGCGCCAATAGGCACAAACCATTCAAGACCGTTGGGAAAACTAGCTTCGTAGCATGTCCGACTTCTCGGCCTTCACGTCCAAGACGTCCCAAAAAACTCCCAAGACGGTCCCACGGACCCTCGAAAATCGTCCCAAGACGCCCCAAGAGAGTCCCGAAACCGCCCAATAGGCGCCCAAGACGGCCCAAGAGAACCCCAAGACATCGCCCAGAGATGCCCTAGAGGGGACGCCCGAACGGATCATTCCTGCCTCCGCCCCAGGATACCCCTCGTGGTCCCAAGGAGCCCCCAAGAGCCACCAAGAGACCCCATGAGGCCTCCAAGGCGCCCCAAGGGAGGGAAAGGAAAAGGGAAAGGGAAAGGTAAAGGGACAGAGACGGGGACAGGGAAAGGGAAAAGGATAGGGAAAGGGAAAGGGAGAGGGAAAGGGAGAGGGAAAGGGAAAGGGAAAGAGGCACGGCGCCCGATAGGCTTCAAAACTGCCTCCAAGAAGCCCCCGCGAGAACATCCGACCGCCCCTGGATCGGCGGCAGTGGCCGGAGGCCGTTGCAATCAAGACGGAGGTTTCTCGCCGCTTTCTGCCTTTAGGGGCAGTCCCTGGGCCCCAAGACCGTGAAAAAACGACCAGGATGAAAAGCTGGTCCCAGGAGTGGGTCAAGAGTTCCAGAGACTCCGTATTGAAAAAAGAGAGTGGGTACAAAAACAAAAACAAAAAAACAACAACAAAAAAACGTGGGATCTCTGGGCGGGGACTTCTGCATGTCCACCGCCTGGGACGCCGACACCCTAGGGCCCCAGGGGGCAATGACTACGGCCATGTTTGGTCCCCAGGAGGCCCCCGTGTATTTGAGGCCTCCCACAGGGGAGCATGGAGTCGAAAGATCGTCGCGCCGCCTCGCCGCTGCATCGCCTGCGCATCGGCGATGCATCAGCGGCGTCATCGATGTATCGGCGACGTCCGCGTGGAGAAAATCGGGCTCCACATCGAACCGCATCGCCGAAGCATCTGCGATGCTGCGCGATCCTCCGACCCCATCTACCCAGACCCCATCCGGCAGGCCTAAACGCCTCCCTACCCTTGGGCCGGGCATGTCCTCCTACAGACGGGTTTTGGACGAAAAATTGAAAATAGGCCAAAGGTGGAGAAAAAACACAAGAAAATCAAAAATCGTCCCCAGACTTCTGGCTTGACTATTTCTGAACAGGCGCCTCCTGTGGAGGGGCATGCCCGACTCCGAGCCTGCCCGTCGCCTCCCGAGGTCCAGGCAGCTCGGCCTCCCACGAGCGGTGGACATGGACGCGCCCCAGGCTCGGGGGCGGGGCCGCGAGGAGCGCGCCGGCCGTGCGCGCCAGGGGCAGCGCCGCGGCGCCGGGGCCGCCCGGGCGACGGCGCGCGGCGGCGCCGGGGGCAGCACCCAGGGCGGCGCCGGGGCCCGTCTCCTTCGGTGGCAACTCGTGGGAGCCTCCCTATACCGTCTGGTCGGCTCTTGCGAGTCGACGCCAGCCGACGCTGATCGACGCTGAATCGGCGCCAGTCGACGCTAGCCGACGCGAAAGTCGGCGGCGCTAGCTCATCGACCCCAATCGACGCCAATCGACGCTAAAGTCGACGCTAAAGACGAAATCAAGAGAGAGTATACCAGGCCCCCACGACTTGCCACCGAAGTCTCCGTCTCCGCCTGCGCCGCCGACACTGGACGGCCGAAGCACGGCACGCGGACTCGGGGGCCCCCGGAGGTCCGCGCGGAGGCTCCTCGGGCGGGGGGGGGGAGGAACCAACGTCTCACTCGATCGATCTCACTATCGATCTCACGATCGATCTCACCATCGGTCTCGCTCGATCGACCTCACTCGATCGATCTCACTATCGATCTCGACATCGATCTCACAATCGATCTCACATTCGGTTTCCCTATCGACTCGGGCCAGCGCTGGGCCGGCCTCCCCCTCCGGCGGGGGGGGGGCCCGGCGCCAGCTCCAGGGCCTCCAGGGCTGTGCTCGCGGGCCGGCGAAGAGCTGTGCTCGCGTGCCGCTCTCTGGCCGCCCAGGATAGCGCGAGGCCCGTCGCCGGGGTGCACTCCCTGTACCCCGCAAAGAAGCCGTTGGTGGTGCAGTTACATACTGGGGGGCGGCAGCGGACCGCCTCTCAGCGGGGGGCCCTCCTGGCGGCCAGGGCCGGTGAGCACATGCCTCCCTCCGATGGGCAGCGGCACCGGTCCTGGGCCCAGGATGCGCCCGGCCACTGGGATGACCGTGGGAGGTTACAGATTCCCCGAGTAGCTTAGGGAGGTTAGATAGCTCCGCTAAGTGGGCGGAGCCCACCTGGCCCGGATTGTTACCCCCCCCCCAGGCTACTTGGGGCAGCTGTAGCCCACTTATAGGTCAGGGTGGGCCAGATATTACCCACGTTGGCATCCACTTGTAACCCCCCTATCCACTTAGAAACCCCCACGGCCATCCCAGCAGGACAGGTGAGCCGGTCAGCTCACGTCGCCCAGGTGATACCCGGCGTCGCAGCACGTAGGCCCGGAGTACGTGGTGAACATGCCGCCGCCGCACTGCTGCATCGCCCCAGCACACTTCGCGCCGCTCCCGCCGGGCCCAGGCCCGGGCGCGCCGCCGGGAGGTCGGGTGCGCCGAGGAGGGTGGCCAGGAAGTGAAGGGGAGGGGGGGAGGAGCGCATCGTGGCCCGGGGCACGGGCGCGGACAAGAGGGGCGATGTGACCGGCTTGGAGGAGGAGGAGGAGGAGGAGGAGGAGGAGGAGGAGGAGGAGGAGGAGGAGGACGGGTCGCCTAAGCCCTTCGGAGAAACCCTCCAGGGCGATGAAGTCGGCGAGGAGATGTCATGGTCCTCACCCCCTCTTCGACGCCTGGTAACTCTCGGGCCGAAGCTCGGGCCTCCGGCAGTCCTTCGGGACAATCTGGGCACCCCTGGAGGGCCCTCCACCTGGCGCGGGGACTGGAAAGAGCACCCCGAGGCGACAAAATCTCCGGGAGCCAAGAAACAGCGAAGACGAGCCCCCTAATTACCCAGACATCCAGCGTCTCGATGTTTTTCGAGACACGGGCCCCCGACCTCTCGACCACCTCCCCAGGACCAGCTTTTCATCCCGAGTCGTTTTCTGACAGTCCCGAGGACCAGTATAAGGGCCCCGAGAGGCCGAAAACTATGCAACATCTCCGCCCCGATTTTGTTCGAGAAGCCCGGTGTCTGGGTATGGTCCTCACCCTCGGGGGTGGACAGAACCCCTTTAGTAAAACGTGGCTCAGTGAAAACGACCTCGGGCCCAAACCTGGCGAGCGCAGGCCTGGAAACTGACGGCCGCGGCGCCCCCTCGAGCACCGGAAGCGGACAATTCACTCATCGACGTGTCAGGGTGGGGGCTCTGTCCAGCCCCGACACCCCCCTCCTGGACGCCCCCGAAGAGGCCCGTAGCCGCCCGGGGGCCCGTAGCCGCCCGGGGGTCCGTAGCCGCCGGGGGGCCCGTAGCCCGCCGGCGGCCCGAAGCCGCTGGCGGCGCCGCCCGCCGCGGCGCCGCCGAGCGGCGCCAGGCCCAGCGCGAGCAGCGCCGCGGGGCGCAGGCGGCGGCACGGACACATGGGCCCCCGGGATGACTGCCTAGCAGACCACCCCAACCCAGACACAATCGCGTCGCAAAAGAAAATCCGGACAGGAGGTTTTTCGCTATTGTCGACCCCTGGGGGCCCTCGCCGGCCCGCGGGAGCGTCAAAACACGACGCAGGGTGGAGAACGCGGCCCGGGTAAAGGGTCGGGACTTCCAGGGACGCCGTCCTGAAAAAAACAAGACGTCGCATGTCTGGGACCAGACCACCCCAGCCCAGCCCGAAGACCTGAAGTTCGGGTTGGGGGAGGGGTGCGGGCGGCACACATGTGTTTTTCCCATGTTCCCC